ACAAAACAAAAAAATCCTGAGCAGTATTTTATAACAAAGTTACATTGAGTGTAATGTTGATACATTACAATGATAAATTTCTTTGACAAACTTGAAACTACTTAAATAACTACAGATATATATTCATTGGTATAGGATATTATTTTAATGAATAAAAATTATCAGAAGGGGTTTTGTGGAGCTTTAAGACGTTTTCACTGATTGAAATCATGAGTCAATTGGTGCTAGATCACCATGGGAAACCTGGAAGCACTGGACGGCCGTTTCGTCCCGGTATAGGACTCCTCAGCAGTGCGTATTCACGATCCCGCACCTCGCGTGATTCGAACCCAGGACCTATCAGTCTCGCGCCATGCGCTTAACTAACTAGACCACTGAGCCAGTCGGTATCCAACGGTGTTAATGTCTAACTTCAACCAATCCACGAAGTTGCGCCACCGTGCACCATTGTCATAAGTTAGCTGATATCTCACAACAGACCTGGTTGAATCCCACTGGTAATGGCTTCTCACTAGAACTCCAGGAAGTACATCTTCCCATACTAGGACGAAACGGCCGTCCAGTGCTTTCAGGTTTTCTATGGTGGTCTAGCTTCAATTGACTCATGAAATCAATCAGTGAATAAAAATGAGTTAAACTTTAAAATGAGAACAATGTACTTATGAATTGTTAGAACTTTTGGCCTTATGCCCTATTAGTTTACAACGTAGTGATATTGTCAATCAGAGAACAGTGATTTATCGACCGGACCAATGACGTGTAATTTTGTAGGAGTCGTTTAGAGTCCTTATCGGTCCTTCTTCATGCCTAGCCTTGCCTGTTAAGTTCAGAACATCGATTTCAGCCTCTGCGATATGAATCATATATTTCAAAAACACTGTGTTTATATACAAACCAAACGGACCACATCGTACCATGAAATAGAAAATAACATTTGTGCAAGATCTAACCAAAATAGGCTGTGAATGTGGGAGACTGTAATTAATAGACTGGGCAGAATTCAAGAATGGTAAGTCGTAAAATGATAGTTCATAGGTCAAAATAATGCTTATACCAAGAGGAACAGGAATATGAATAGTTTAGTTACTTAACAATTATACAATAAAATATATATAGTATTAGTCCAGAAATAGAGTCCAACGTTTACTCTTCATTATTCTCATCGGGATATAATAAGTTAGTTAATATAGAAAAAAGATATTGTGTGTGTGCTACTCATGTCGACAAAAAATAGTATATAACACTAATCAGCAATAGAATATCTGGTAACAGAAAGTTGAGAAGATTGAGGAGGGAAGAATGGGAACAGTAAGTAATTGGTATGAAAATGCAAGAACAATGAAGTTTGAGATAATTAATGAACAATTTACAAATGATGCATTGGAGAAGGATTTTTCTATTTTACCAAGTAACTCTGTAAGTTTGTGATAAATGTAATGACTTGTACTCACCTCTGTTCTCCTTCACTACAATACTTGTAAATTAATAACAATCTATGTAATACTATTCTATAATGCAACCTCATTAACTAGTTCAGTGAATTGATCTAATTTTACAAAGAAGTACTTCAAAAATGTCCATATAGCAAGTCCTCTTAATAAATATAAACACTGTGACCACAATGATGATCAAATAAGACTTTTTATCCTTTTTTATTTTCATTTTTTTAATCTTTATCCCTTACATAGTTGTCAAGTGCTTCCAGGTTTTCCATGATGGTCTAGCTTTAATCGACACATGAATTACTACAATCCCCACAAAAACTTCCAATCTGATAAAATACATTATTTGTTAGAAGTATAGATTGATAATGAGAAAACACGTGTACAAGTAGTGATAAGACCAATATTGGTCTCATTAATATATATTTGTAATTTAAACTGAAAAATATAAGATGTAGTCAGTAGTTCAACATAACGAGTAGGTCAAAATTGAATGAGTCGACTTCAATATAACAATTATTATAAATAAGTGTTACTTCATCCATTTTATTCTATATTATAATTATTATTATTTTCAACATCTAAATGTACATCAGTTTCAATGTATATCCTGTTCTTACTCTTATGATTTTGAGAATCTGATTTAGTTATAGTAAAACTAATTTATGGACGAATCTTGAGCGACACTAATCTGACTTTGAGAATGTCCACCTAATAACTATGACTAGATGAAAAATATAAACCATTGTGAAGAATTTGAATTATGATGTACAATTGATAGTTAGGGTTAATAATTAAATCTAGGATTTTCATTACGAATTGACATAGATGAATGAACTTCGCGCCAAAATCCATGACTCCTTATCTTATATCTGATTGATTCATCTATAAATTATAGTCTCACCATAAACATTTATCAAAATGTCACTGATTCAAGTATATTAGACCCTTTGCTGATAATCATATCATTCCTTGTAAGTTTAAACTGTTTTCAACTTATGAGAAGACATGAAATGTAAGATAAATTCATTTTATTCTGTAAACCTCTGTGGTATTTAAAGTTTTACGAAACTTAAGTTTTCATGGAACTTAAAAGGAAGGGATTTGTTTAAATGATTGTAGGTCAACCAACACAAGAAACATTATAAACCAATAACAATACATGGGTATTTAAAGCATAGCGAATTCACGGTCAATCAATATAGTTCAGAGAATATAACACTACCAACAGCTTAGTATCTTTATAAACAATAAAACTTATATAGCTTGATAGTGCACTTATATACTCGTGTCTTTTCATTTCACTCATATCTTTAGTATAAACTATGCAGAGTAATTCAAATGATTTAGTTATCATTACTAAAATCATATCTCAGTTAATGACTTGGAGATGTAACTGAAATGAAATAAAATAATCAATTAACTTTGTTCTCAAATATCTTTTATATGGAGTAATTATGGTATTATGAAGTTATAATATGGTAGATCTCTTAATTATAATCTAACAGCATACTGTCCAATCGAGTAAAAATATAGTTTATCATCTATATCCCAATGATCAATTTTCGGAAAGTGAATATCTTATTCCTTGGATAAAAAAAATAGACTTAAAGTAATTAATCATCTTATGTTTTTCTCCCAAAAAAAAGATAACTGAATTTTTGAAGAAAGAATTAGAAATAGCAAATTATCAATTTTTAACAAAACTGTTATCAGTGGTCTTAATGACTTATGAACTTGTAACGATCTATAATGTTTATTGAATAGACTGTATTGTAGATACTGCAACTAATCGTTCCAGGGAAATGCATCCTAAAGAAAACGTTTAATATTGGGTTTCGCTTTGAGATGAATTCATCAGGGAAATTTGTTCTATTCAAAAAGGGAATGCAACTAAAAAATCATTAGAAATATAGATGTGAATAGTTCTGAAAAATGCTGAGTAACAAACGATCTCATCTATTGTTACTGTGTTATGATACTAAGTCATATGAAGTTATGCAACGGGGGGTCATCATAAGGAGGTACTGAACCTGAGGTTCATATTAGTTGGCATGTGTCAGCAAGAAATATCTGTAGTCCGGTGAGAACTAATGCTTTCTGTAGAATACAAATTAAAAACACCCAATGTCTCAGTCATATGCGTTGCTACTGAGTCATTCGTGTTTTGATTGATCTTACAAAGATGATGACATTTAATTTATTAATCTACTGTACCGATAGAGCGATCAAATATCTAGGGGAGTATTCACAATAACAAACGGCATTGTATTTCTTAATATCACAGGTACAGACAAGCAGAATGTCGATTATATATAATGACTTAACTGTGTTTCACTAACGTTTAATCCATCAAGCACCAAACTGATAAATTTATGTGTGCTCCCTTATAACACAGAAGATTAAATCATTCAATATTCGCTATACATTTTTAACACAAAATATTTGGTTATATAACATAAAAGATATAAGTTGTAGGTTGTTGGTTTAGCTACTATAAAACTTGACTGTTAACTAGTTGGTTCAAAGTTTAAATCCCAGTTTCGTTAGCTCATTAATATCTCTAGTTCTCAACCGAACAATATGCTTCAAAGGAGGAGACATAATTCTATACCTGTCAGATAATTCACATCAACTTCAAATAGATGAATAACTTTCAAATGAATGAAAACATTTTTCTATAATTTTCTAACTACCCTCTATTATGTTTAATAGTCTCAAGTATATACTTGATTACAAGTAGGGGTTTGCAGTATAAAATAGAAAATCGTATAATACACTCCACTTCAACATTTATTTAACATATTTGAAAGCATCAACAAATGTTTTAAACAATCATACATTTCTAAACCTTTTTGGACTAGTTTTGCATCCCATACTGATTCAGGTATGAATTACAATCTGACAACTTTTAGTCTCCCCATTGAACTGGTATGGAATAAGATACATTAATTACTATGCGCTCTGCTCTTGGTTTTTTTCCTCAGTTATTAACATCTTTTATAAGTTATAAGCTTGTCATAAAAACATATGGATATATTAACGTCATAATCAAATATCTAAAGTAAACTAGAATAATACATAAATAGAATACTTTCTTCATTATTGTATTGTTTGTTCAAATTTTCCTATTGATGTTTAGGACTAAGATTAATCAAACTCTTATTGACATAAGTGCACAATCAAAATCAATTACAATTCTAAACATCAAAGGGAAGATTCAAATACATAAAACGAAAGTGAATTAAAATTCCATCCCATTGCACAAACTACTAGCCATTAGGACTAAGTAGCTAAATCGATAACGCAATGGTTTTTGAAGCGAATGGTACTAGATTTGACTCATGAAGTGAACATTAACTCTGGGATGCAAGTACATGGAGTTGATGAGTCCTGAATAAGACAAAACGCATGTCCTGTATTCCACTGTTAGCCATCATCTATCAATACCTATAAAACTTTTTGTTGTTGAGATCTAAACAGTTCAGAAGTTTAACAATGTCTCTAGTCAGTAACATAGTCAAACTTTACTAATTAAACATGTTTACATAGACTTACTTGGATCAGAAAGTTTATTACTTTTAATAGTAAATATCATATTAATAATCACAATGAAAAACAATAATCTCATTACGTAATCATATTCCACTGAACTCGTCTAAGTTTATCGCATTTTTTAAAAAAATGTTTTTTTTAAAATTTTTATTTTTATTTTACCGAACAATTAATAGTAGAAACATGATTACATAATGAAATACTTTTGATGTATTAATAGTATAATATAAATTTGTATCTAAGTAAATGTTGTTTCCATCATAACAACTAAACTAATATTCAATTGAATTTAAATAAATAAACAAAATAGAAATCATTCATTGGATAATTAATAACCAATCAGATTATAGCAATTATTTGTATAATTTAAATAGGATATTTGATTTGTTTATTTTTTTAATTGGTTATTTATTAAATGAAAGATAATAAACTCTCTTAAACCATTTGTATTGTCTAGATTATTAATTCAAGATATGGAGTATTTAAATTCAACCATATACGATTAGATTTTATTCAATTTTTGTAGAAAAACAAAATAGTCATAAATTATTAAGTATGTCATATTAATATCAGAAGGGTTTTTTTGGAGATTGTAGTAATTTCAACAGTTGAGATCATGAGTCAATTGAAGCTAGATCAACATGGGAAACGTGGAAGCACTGGACGGCCGTTCCGCCCTATTGTGGGACTCCTCAGCAGTGCGCACTTGCGACCCCGCCTAGCGAAAGCCGAACTGAGGGCGTATCAGTTTCTCGCCAGGCGATTAACCAACTAGACCACTGAGCTGGCCGGCATCCAGCGATGTTAATGTCTAAATTCAACTAATCCACGAAATTGAGCCACATATCCACCATTGTCATCAGTGAGTTACTGCCTCACAACTCACCCGATTGAACCCCACTGGTCACTGCTTCTCACTAGAACTCCAGGATATTTCTCTTGAAGCCATTCACTAGTGAGCATATGTAGATTAGCACCTGATGCGAGGCTGATAGATCCTGGGTTGGAATCCCGCGACGTGTTGTTGTGGATGCGCACTTCTGAGAAGTCCTGCAATAGGACGAAACGGTCGTCCAGTGCTTAAAGGTTTTCCATGTTGGTCTACCTTCAATTGACTCATGATCTCAACTGTTGAAATTATGTCATGATAATCACACTCAGTTGTAATGAAAAATACTTGGAAACAAAATATTTCAAAACATCACAATTTTTTTCCTTTTCAGTGTACAGTTCGTTTTTTGATTATAAAATCTGTCCTCGGTAGTCGTTTCCAATTATTTCCAGTTGTTATTCATCTTTTTCATGTTTGGTTCCAATTCTTGGCGTAGTGTATTCTTTGACCTTTCACTTTTTTGTCTCCATTCAAGATTTCAAATTGACACTATCATCCTGATGCAATTTGATGATTTCCACAATATGTGTCTTATCCACTTTCAACATCTTTTCCTAATTTTTTTGTCAGTTGGAAGCTGGTTTGTCCTAATCCACAGTAGGCTGTTGCACATGGTATCTAGCCAACGGACATTGAGTATCTTTTGTAGACAATTGTTTATAAATAGTTGTACGTTTTTGATGATGTTCGTGATAGTTCTCAAAGTTTCAGCTTCATACAGTGGAACTGTGCTGACGATGGTATTGAAGTTTCTCACTTTGATATAGAATGACAGTTGTTTTGATTTCCATATAAAATAACCATTATCGTTCGCTTATTTAGGATTATTTCATAATATTTATGCTAAACAACGTTCCATACTACAATTGTATTACTTCTTACATCTATCTAACAAAAATGTAATTGTTTTCGTTTCGTTAAAGAATTAAAATATGATCACATATTCAAATCATCGAAGTAGTTTTGGGTTCACCTTGTAATGAAAACTTTAACTGAAATAATTAGAAGAAAGAAAGATTATTGTGAAGTATTTAACACTTGATAAGTAACTATTTGAGTGATTTTAACTAGTTACCGTTGGTCGTATTTGTTTACAAAAATGAATTGATGTTTCAATTATCCCTTCATTACATAACGAACTCTGAGATAAAAATTGTATATAAAATGCTGGATTTATAACCAAATGGATACCGAATCAGTGGTCTAAAAGTTAAGCATTCGTGTGTGAGGTCGAAGGTTATGTGTTCAAATCCCGTGATTCAGGATCTTGGAAGCGCATTGCTGAAGAGCATCATACTAGGACGGAACGGCCATCCAGTGTTCCCAGGTTTTCCATGGTGGTCTTGCTTTAATCGATTCATGAATTCAACTATCAAAGTTAATATTTTATTGATAAAATATTTTGAATAAAAACTGTTTAGTAAAGATATTATGTTCATTAGAACTAATATTATAAACGACTTATTCCTTTAATCAATCAAAACTGTTCTGATATTCATCTATTCAGTTATTTATCAAAGTATTTTAATCTTAGTTCGAATGGTCACCAAATATTATCAAGAAATAGTCATTTTATGTAAACTAAACATTTTTATTGAATTAAAATCTTATTCAGCTTGTGCGATGGTGGAGAAGATTTGTAGCTCAGCTGGATGATTTTGATGGAGTTTAGTTCTGTGAGCTGGATGATTTGGCTGTGCACGATCAAAACACCATTATAATCTACTTGTTCAAGGAAGAATTTTGATAATCGTTTTGATGAAATAATGCCCTTTAATGTATATTTTTAATAATAGTTTAAATCAATCTAAATAAATAACACTCTTCATTTCATACAGTTAGTTGTCTTTGCGAAGTTGAATAAAGCTATAACAATAATTGAACTAGAATGACAACCATATATGATAGAGTATGAAGCAATCGACATTAGTGATGGATAGAACTAAAATGATAAACATTATCAATAATAAGCAGAGAGATGGATAGTAGCTAGCAGTGGAATCCAGGACGCGCGTTTCGTCCTGTTTGGGACTCGTCAGCTGGATATACCTGCATCTCAGAGTTGATGTTCACTCTGGGACTCGAACTCAGTACCGTTCGCTTCAAACGCCATCGAGTTATCCACTTAGCTACTGAGTCCTGATAGCCACTTGCTTGTGCAATGGGGTGAAGTTTAATTCACTTGATATTGTTTTATTTGAATCTTCCCATTGATGTTTTAGGACTGAAGTTGATCAGTCTCTTATTGGCATATGTGCATACTGTGCGTATGCCTCGATATTGCCTTAATTTACAAGCATTATAAGCAGAGAGATGGAAGTGGCAATCATATAGAATCTGCAAACTGGTAAGATGGATTTTGTGATAATTATAGAAGATTTGATGAACTTACATAAGTTTCATTTCGCTCGGTAAATAGAAGATAAAGAGTAATGAAGTGATAATTATCTCAATATGAAATTAATCAAATGGCCTACATTATAATTATGCCAGACTTGAGGAGTTTATATAATTTTAGAAACTTGGGTGAATGAGAAACAAAAGGACGAATGACTGATTTAAATGTACTTGAAATGACATTTAGTTTATTGAAGTTTGCACAATAAACTAAACACAATTTTAAGATACTGTCGTTAAAACCTTGAACCGATCTGATTTAGGTCATTATCGAAAAACACTGGACGGCCGTTTCGTCCTAGTATGGGACTCTACAACAGTGTGCATCCACTATCACCCACTCAGAAATCGAACCCTTACACATTCAGTCTTGTACATCGTTGTCTGAAATATAGACAACTGAGACGGCACCTAACAGTGTTAATGTCTAACTTTAATCAATCCACGGTATTGCGTGACGGTCTTGCATTGCCTTTGATAGGTAACTGCTATAACTGCCATGATCAGTGGAGCTAAGCCATGACGGATGTGAGACAATTACTCATCAAAAACAATTGAAGATTATCAGAGCTATGCAACATTGGATCGCAGTTCAGTAGTTTGGATAGTGTATGTTGACACACAAGTCTAAAGGTGACAGGTTTGGATCCAGCAAGTTGGATTTCGGATGCGCATTGCTGTAGAGTCCAACAGCAGGAGGAAACGGCCTCTCGGTGCTTCTAGGTTTTTAATGGAGATCTAAAATGGTTCGTTTAATGATTTCAATGACTTTCAACAGTCTCCACACCCCTATACTGACTACAAAATAATAATAACAGCAGTAATGGTGATAATTAATTATAAACAAAATGATGGATTTACCAATGTTATGAAGAATTAATTACCGTCTCTTTTGGACACATAAATCTTGCTTGATATTTTAGTCTCTTATACTTTGTCAAACCTTAGTGATTCTGAGTAATTTTTTTGCTAATAATATTGAAGGACTAGGAAATGTCAACAAAATGCACGTATCAGTCACAGATGACTTTTTCGTGTGTAGCTTTTTGATGCATTAACTTTGTAATATTAGAGCTGTTCCAGGGGAGCTGACAATCGTTGGGGCAAGAAAACGTTTCAGAGTTTTAAGATCTGGCTGTTTTAAACTCGTTCCTTCCGTTATGGTCAGCATTATTGGTAGAGATGTTGGTTTTCGAGGAGGAATAACTTATTTTAATGAAATCCCATTACAAACCATCAATCAACAATACGATTAGTGCTTTTAGTTTTATCGGTCTTTAACCTACCCTACTGGTATGGTAGTGTGGTGTGGGTTACTTATATCCACACAAGTAGTATGTAACGGTGGTCAAGCATAGAATGTACTTCAGTAAAATGTCGATGAGGAAAGAACGGAAACGGAACACAGTTAATATGAAAACTCATGAACAATGAAATCTGAGATAATGGATTGATGTTTGCGACAAGAACAGTGAAGTTTAAGATGGATTGATATTTTGCAAATTAACGATTTACTATATGATTCTCAGATTTTATTGAGATGCTCTGTAATTTAGTGTAAAATACATTCGATTGTCCCCACTGGTGTCACTGTTCACTACAGTAGGACCTATAAAAGCAAGCAATCTTGTTGGAAATTATGTTTAGTAAACTCAACCACTCCATCAAAGTAATAGCTATAATTTTATTCAACAAATAAAGTTTTTGGATTTCCATCATTACTAAATCTAGGATGTTTAATATAATATAATAAATATATCCTTAGTAAATCATCATTACAGTTAGAT